CGTCTTCCCCCATTTTGTTCTGCGTCATTTCGTGAAGGACGCGTGGCTCTCAGCGTGGGTCATCCACGCGGAACACATTCGCGCTATGTGATTGGCTGTTGTCTAATCCCCCTTGAGATCTGTGGTGTTAAAAATAACTCGAGACGAATTACCTATGGAATAGGGTGTATATGGGGGATGCCCTCTCTGTCCCCTTTATAGTCTCTTGCTCTTATCCAAATAAGAGAAAAATCCAAATAAGAGAACAATCAAACATAGGAGCAGTACAAAATAGGTTTACTCAGAAGATCTCAGATAGATAATTGCTGTTTTCGTTTGCTGGAAACTTGTGAAATGTTCATGTTGATCAACAGTATGCCCTTGGGCGAACACCCTAAATAGACAACCCTCGATCCCACAAAGTAGAATCTGAATGACACATTAATAAGCTTATATATTTTAACCACGCAAATTTTTGTGATTCACCGAGCCTGCAAAGAAGGCGTATTTAACTAACAAGTCGAGATTTCCTTTTTACTATATCGAAGAAAATATATATACCAAGGCGAAACTCCAAGAGGGGATCTTATCCCATATGCAACTAAATGTCAAAAGCGGTTCGTTCATATTGAGTATTGTCATCTTAACTTTTTTTAGCAATAAAATAACAAGCCCTATTTCCTATTTTTGTTCCTTAGAGTATACATTACACCACCCTCAAAAAAGAAAGTAAATTAATGTTTTCTTTAGAATAAAACGGTCTTAGACGATCGATAAGACTTACAAAATACTTTTCAGTTAAATTTAAATCAAATTGCTTTGGGTGTTTCAGTTGTTCGTGAAAGAAAGAATGACCTTCTCTGTCATGTATATTAGGGTGACATTGTGCTCCTTTAATTAGGGGTTTATCCCGGCTTAGCGTTGACCTAGCAACTTTTATTACAGATTGATCTGAATCGTCTTCTTCTGACTCTCACTTCCCTTTCCAAATATTGTTTCCATTGTGTGTTCGTTTGTTTTTTTAAATTCCGATCTGGAAGGTGATCTGCGCCCTCATATAAGATTGCTGTCAGTTAGTAAATGAGAAAAGTTTTTTAATCTTTGTCTGAAGAAAATTAAATTTCAAGAAAGTGACTGAAAACAATGAATACTTGAGACCATAAGATCGAAGTTTAGCCATCTTACCGCAAGCGGCAATCCGCGGTTTGCGTTTTGCGGTTTCACGTTATCCGTCTGCCCATATTTAGGATTTAAGATTCGCGGCTGCCATGTTTGTTTTTATTCATTCGTTCACTTCTATTGTCGCTGAGAAATCGTCTTCAAAGTTACGTTTCTATGAAAAATAGTTCAATAATTAATTAGCGAAAGAGCTCTGAAAAGGAGTATTTATCTCAAAAGTGGGATTGTGATGTTTTACACAGCGAAAAACCTTGCGGTAAACCACTTACCTCTAGAGAGTGATCTAGCCGTACAAACGTGAACCTCAAACCGCAAACCTGACAGCAAGGTCCTGGTCACGTGACTTCTTGGCGTTTGCGGTTAGCGGGAAATGCGAAAAACCTCGATCTTAAGGTCTCTACTCGTTTCTCAAAAATCGATTTTAAAAAATCAATAGAAAACTATTGTATCAGTCAAAATCATGGTTGGGACACCCGACATTATTGTCCTTTCGCCCTCCCAAAGGGAGGAACAGAAGGCGCCGCGCAGAGGCGTTCCGTGGAAGCGTCCCAACACGAGGTTGGTCCAGTGATATTTGTCTAGCTCGGCTAGCAAGCTAACCATTGGAGGAGTCGCGAGAAGTCACGCGAGAGCAGCTTGCGAAAGGAGACGCGAGTGCGGCTTCGCTCGCCATAAATGGAGAGCTTGCTAGCACGCAAATTTTTGTCTGATGCTGTAGCTATTACAGCGTCAAGTTTACAAATAGCACAGCGGCTGTTTCAAATGCAAAAAAGTCTCTACAGGGAAAAAAGCTGTACATATATCCGGTATTAACCTTCAGGTATCATGAAATTCCAGGATTGCTCCTGGACAGTCCAATAATTAAATAACTGAAATTACTGGTATATAATAAAGAAACACTATATGGTGTCTTAAAGCTAAAACTTCTGTATCTTTTCTACTTCTAATTAACATTTCAAACTCAAAGTAGACAGACTGCAAATTATCGTAGTTGCTAAAAAAGATATATCTACGTGTCACAACTGCATATTAGCTTTCGAATCCGACAAAAGTATGCTATCCATTTAATAAGCATTCACATCCAGGGCATGGCCAATAAGAGAAAAGCAATGCATTACCTTATTTAGGATTTTAAATTGCTTTTACATTTAAGCTACAATTATTTTCCTTTCATTTCAAATGCGAACACGTCACCTTTGAAGAAAGGAAAAGGCTAGGCAAGAACATTGTAAGTAAACGCCTATAATAACAAAGTTTCTAGATTCCGAGACTTGGAAAAAATCACTTTATTTCTTAAAAAGTTGACCTCTATTTACTCGTACATGTCTGTAATTTCAGGTATGCTTCAAAGGGTACTATATCAACTTACGAAATTTACTGTGTAAGACTAATGTTACTTATAATGAAACAGAGTTATGCTTAAATATCTTTAAGTTGGAGCCAGATTTAAATTCTAACACGGGGTAATTTGCGGGAAAAATTCATCGCAACGGTACTGGATTATTAGGGATAAAATTAACAGAAAAAAAAAGAGGTGTAGCCAGGATTTTTTCAGAGGTACGCTTACCTCACCAATTTTCCTGCCCCTATTAAAACGAATTCGCGTTGTTGCAAACTTTATTGCGTTTATTTCCAACTTGCTCAATGTGGATGAATTTCACTGGAACCGCACTCAAGCTTGACCATAGTAAGAATAATTGACCATCGTGTGTTTATTTTCACGTCCTTTAAACTACGAGGCATAAAAAATTTCACTTCTTTACCCTCGACTTTTTACAGGTACGCACGTGCGTACCGTGCGTATCCTCCTGGAAATGCCAGGGGTATACTCGGCCTCCCACCCACAAGTAAAAGTTAAAGTATCTATGGGCCAAAACACACGGAAAATGTTTTCACAGAAAAACTCAAAACGAAACTTTTAACCTTATAATTGGGCACAGTGGGTAAGCAAGCCACAATAAATCATAGTTTGGGAAGCTTTGGTTTGTGTCCCTCAAGGAGACGCATCTTTTTATTTTTTTTTCATTTTAAGTTCCCTTTATTTTTCTTTTATTCAGAATTCTTTTTCACTGAGGCGCCTTTATCATTCCATTATGTAGGTATATGTGCATACTAATTTCATATTGCCTCAATGAACCATTTTCAAAATCAAAAAAGTGATTTACCAGTACCTAACTTTGAATTTCCATCTCTCTGGAAGTCAATAATGGCGAGATTAATGTACGTTTTACACTGTACGCAGCGTAATACGGGCCTATTGTAATATGCCTATATCTTTTGCGTAACCCAACAGTGAAAAAATCTTTCTTTAACCACATGGAATTGAAACATGAATGTTTTATTTTATATTTCTTAGGCGACGTTATGAGGGGCTGAGGAATGTGTTACCAGGGCATTAGGGTGGCTTCAAGTTATCCACCTATCCAAGCCAATGGATCAATTTCCATGTAAAATTCAAACTTAGCTGCGAGGCTTGGAAAAAAAAAACAAAAACAAAGGAAATGACCTTAAGGTCCAGGGATAAGATGACGCATTTCTTAATTATTATATTCCCTTAAACCTCACAGCCAAGTATGAATTTTATGAATTTATCGAAATAGACCTTTAGCCAGTAAGTTTTGTTTTCCCATTTCAGACCACTTGATGTTACCCTAGAGAAAATGTTTCTCTTCAAATGTCGTCCCATGCACGTTAATTCACGAGCATATGTATGCATAGTTCAAGAAAAGACAAAAGACATATTCCCTAGAGAACATCACGTAGCTATAGTCATTATTGGAAAAAACAAAATATGCAAGCTAAAAAAGTCTATTGGCCTATTCATCATTTTCACATTGCCAATAATGCACCTTGGTTACCCCCCGCCCCATCTCCTGCAAAAAAAAAATCAAAAGGGTTTAAATACAAAATAAGATCGACCTGAGAGAGGTTTTGTAAGCCCTCGAGAGTGAGCAACGCCCTTGTCTTCACTAAAATCGCTAGACACAAAACCTCCCTTGGGTCGATGTTACATTGTCACAACCGCCTTTTGTTTTCGATTTCTCCTGGGTATTAAAGTCATTCCAAGAGAAATGCAAGGCAATTCTTATGCAAAATTTCAAAATTTGGGGGTTAACAAGGTCTATTGAGGGTAATGTGAAAACGACGAATTTTATGGTTTTCATTGCAGCAAACACTGATACATCGCTGAGATGAGTTTCCTATTTGTGGCTGGATCACTCTTTCTTTTTACCACCATTGAATTGAGTGTTGCGGGCGAGGGCTCCACTCCGAAAATCAAAGAAATTGTACTAGGAAGATGCTACGAGTATCAATTGAATACTATTGGTCCTGAAGCAGATAACTGGAAAGACTGTAATGAGATCTGGGAGGCCTTTCATCAAGCCTTTGCTTATAAGAATCCGTGTACCCTAGCATTCGATGATTACCAGCCGTTCTTTGATGCAACTGGAATGCAAGAACTTACAAAGGTTAGAAAAACTGACAAGTGTCTTGCTGAAGAAGGGTGGAGCTTCCTTCAGATAATGTATTTTATTACAGGGGAGTGTAAATTAAACAAACGTCATTTCATTCAAATCCCTGATTGTGATACAATGTTTTGAGTTAGAAATATTTGTTATTTCGGAAACTTTAGAAACAATCTAATCAGTTCAGGTACGTTTACACACGGTTTCTAACTGTATACGGCAATAATAGCTTCGAAACTGGTAAAGTACAAATAAGATCTTAGAGTGCGCAAGCAGTATACGGAATGGCGAACAACGAGTGACGTAATTATATAAATGCAAACTGTGAAAAAAAACATAGCACCAGGAGCCGGCTCCTGATAATACCTAAGGGGACACAACGAACTACATGAAAAACGTAAACCGTACTGATGATAATAAGAAAGGCTGATAATTAACAATTATTGAATGGTGCGGTCTAGGAGGGTGTTATCGAGGTAAACAAACCTTGAATCTAAATAAGGTCAATCCCATTCTCGTTTTCACCTGAAACTGTAAAATGGGCTTTATTAGCCGATTATTAAGCCAATCAGAAACGGTGGGGAAAGATTTTTTAATTAATAATATTGAAAGTTACAGAAAAAGTATTTTGCATTCAAAGGAGTAGGGTAAGTACCGGAGTAATGAAAACTTTCCCTGCAATGTTTGTGTGCAAATAGCACCAGTATAAGAGAACACTTGGCCCAGAAATAGGAAAAAACTTGTCCATTTTCTGATCATGACTGGTATAGCGAACCACTTATAATCGGTTTGAGCAATATATTTCTCAAATACACAGCCATATTCGAAAAATCCTCAACTCATTGTCAAGTGTCAGTCTTCTTACAGCCGCACTGGTGCGATGATGTTGAGTCATCTGCATACTAGTTGAAAACGGGAGGGAGTTGCCTCTGGTTTAATTTTATTCAGAGAGAATATTAGAGGGCTCTACCTAACGTTACCCCTAACTTACCGCCTTTCTACTCGTTCAAATAATTCCATAGTTATAGTACATACGATTGAGGGGTTAAAAGCACAGCCAAGTAGTGAGTAAACCAGCTAACTTTAAGGTCTAATAAGCCATAGTGGTAACGTCTTGCATGGTAGCATATGTGGGACACAGTCATAAGAAAACCACCCTGGCTATGTGACGTGGTTTTCACTTGAAATCATGCCTTTTTTCTATGTTGAGGCCGCATCTTCTTTCCGAAGAAGATCAGCCTCAAAATATATCCTTGCCTTTTCTTCAGAGTTTGTTCTGGTCTGGTACATACAAAGTTGCGCATGTCTATTCTGATTCTGGTGATCGATATACAACTCTAGAAGATACCTTGGCCGGGTAAGAATCAGCTTCATGTTTAAAACATAACATTGCAGACGGCTTTAGGAGTTTTTAGATTGTTAACAGTCCCCTATTTTTCCGTAAGATCGTCGAGATCGAGGGCTTGGCATTGTTCTCTTGCCCGCCCCCTCGGTACATGCATATGGAACCAAGATGAACGCTCGTACCGGTAACCACTCGCTCCTTACGATCTTAAGAAACAACAGGGGACTGTGCAGGGGCGGATCCAGGGTTTTTTTAGGAGGGGGTGCACTCGTCTCTTGCTCTACTTCNTGGCTATGTGACGTGGTTTTCACTTGAAATCATGCCTTTTTTCTATGTTGAGGCCGCATCTTCTTTCCGAAGAAGATCAGCCTCAAAATATATCCTTGCCTTTTCTTCAGAGTTTGTTCTGGTCTGGTACATACAAAGTTGCGCATGTCTATTCTGATTCTGGTGATCGATATACAACTCTAGAAGATACCTTGGCCGGGTAAGAATCAGCTTCATGTTTAAAACATAACATTGCAGACGGCTTTAGGAGTTTTTAGATTGTTAACAGTCCCCTATTTTTCCGTAAGATCGTCGAGATCGAGGGCTTGGCATTGTTCTCTTGCCCGCCCCCTCGGTACATGCATATGAAACCAAGATGAACGCTCGTACCGGTAACCACTCGCTCCTTACGATCTTAAGAAACAACAGGGGACTGTGCAGGGGCGGATCCAGGGTTTTTTTAGGAGGGGGTGCACTCGTCTCTTGCTCTACTTCAACACTAATAAACCACTTTTTTTTTTTTCGCAGAATACCAGTTGTTTAGAAAACAGCAGGTCATCTCGGGGGGGGGGGTGCGCACCCCCTGTACCCTCCCCCTAGATCCGCCCATGCTGTGAACAGTCTAAACAGTAGTTTTAGGAGCGCTTACAGTTGGTTATAACTGGAAGGCCAGACCACGGTCCAGTCGAAAAGAGAATTTCACTACTAAATCGGGTCTGTCCCCGCCAGATCAGTCTATTCCTAATAGCATACACGGCAGTGATAGGTTTTTAGCCAAAACTCTAAAGGAAACCCTGACCTACTTTACTTTCAATGATCGACTTCTAAAAAAGTGCAGGCCTGAGTTCACACATTCTTCGTTAAGTTAGTTATAGTATTTACAGCTTTAATGTTAGTGGGGCCGAGCGAATGCCTGAGATAAATAATTTAAATCAAACTTAACAGAGTTAAGCGAATCCCAACTGGCCGGAGATCCTCTGGCAAACCAGCCGGCTCAGTATTTACAAACGTGGTCGAGGATTCAAACTCGGGACTACCAAATTCAGTAGCGGTCAGGGCGGGACTTAAACTGGGGACCTCTGAGTTACAAGTCCAGCGTTCTTACCACTCGGCCACGCCACCTCCTTACCAGCCTTACTCTTCGCTGTCCACGTTAGCTGGCCCACACCAGTGACTGACAGGAAACTGTTGGTCTCCTAACTTTCATCGGGGGCTCAAGATGGATGATCCAATAAAACAGAATACGTAACTGATTATTACCATTTCTTCATTTGTGTATAAGATTACTATAGCCTATGGCAGGCTCAACCATTCATTTCAATACTTAGAGATCTATTGAGCCCCCTCTGACTGCCTCACGATCAGTTCATCTAAGAGAGTTGGTCACAAGACACTGTCAGACCAACTCATCCTCTACGTGAGTTTGTTACATTGTAGGTAGGCAAGAGTTTCGTAATAATAATTACCAATTATGTACGTTTTACGTCTAAAACCCCTTGCAGGTATCTGGTGAATGGACTGACTTGGTGTGGAAATGAAAACCTGTCTCCTTCAGACTCCGATGGGATTGACTACGATTCCTGTCCAGATTGGAGTGAATGTGATTATACGACACCTTTCTGGGGCCTCGCGTCAACGACGGTAAAGTATCGTCATGTACTTTTCTCTCTCAAACTTTTCTCGTATTTTTCTCTCAAACTTTTAAAGTTATCGTTTCCTTAACTCTGTGTTTAATAGCAATAATATCTATTAATTTGTTCTTCTGTCCCGCCAAGATTAGCAGTTGCTACCTGCGGGTCAGTGTAATTACTTAAGTTAATACTTGAAATAAAGTTTTGTTGTTGTTGTCATCGTACAAGTTTTAACGAGGTTTATAAGCTCCTCTAGGTGCTACATAGACACGCAATGATACTTTAAGTTTATAGACAGCCGCGGGCCAAGTCATTTAATTAATAACTTATACAAACTAAATTTTTACATTTGTTTTTTAAAGTTTGCAAGACACGCTCGAGGAATTGCTAGAGTAATGCTGAATGGTTCCAGGGTCGATTCAAATGGAAAGCCTGTTCCTTACAGAGAGGATAGGTAATCGTACCTGCGGCCAAGTAGTTCTTACAAATCATGTAGTTGACTAAGACGGGGCCACAGAACTAGAAGGGAAAGGCGCTCGCGGGTAGGGAAATTTTTCCACATATTTGAGTCCACATATTTGATTCATCTTCCGAAAAATCACAATAGTTAAAAATTACTGCGAGGCTCAAAATTCTCAACCTTAAAATAATAGCCAAGGTCATAAAATTGAAACACCTTTGGGGACAAATGACATCGAAACGTTTTATGGGCACTCAACGAAAATATAGTTCAAAACCACTTAAACATGGCATTGTTAAACGTATTTTAGTATTTAAACGTTAGATATGGGCATATTTTTTTTTCCCTAAAAATTTTTCATCTGTTCGGATTTCCTTGCTGAAAGACTAGTTATCCGAAAATTATAAGGATCAAAATTTACCTTTTCGAAAATTTCAGCCCGAAAAAAGACTCCCGAAAATTCTAGATGACCTTTTTAGGGTAAAAATCCGTTAAAAATTGGCAATTATACCATTTTTCAGATGCTCGAAAATCCTAGGAGAGGCAGGCAAGAAAGAAATTTTACAACAAATGTTCCGAAAATTCTAGATCTCAAATCGTCTTCCGAACAGTATTTTCCAAAAATTGACGTTGGGTGCCCCTGTTTTTATAAACCTCCTCTGAATATAATCCAGTCGAACTGGCCTTAAAAAAAACCAAGAGGCTGTAGAGGAATTGGTTGGGTTTTTTCGGTCCAAATCTTTCCAATTTCCTTCCTTTATTACTTTTACCAAGAGAGGACTTAAATGATTACATACTTTATTATGAACAGAACACAATAAGCCAGATAATTACGTTATCTATAATATTAATAATATAATAAGGAATTTCGTTTTTTTTATTTTGTAGCTTCTTTGCCAAATACGAGCTGCCAAATCTTCAAGTGGACAAAGTTTATGAACTCAGGTTCGTAGTGGTTCACACAAACGGCCCTACACGGTGAGAAACAGTAAGAAAATATGTACGGGAAAAATCGGCCCACATAAAAACGGCAACAACAAAAAAAAAAAAAAAAACGCGTCTTTTAACAGCAGCAGCAAAATAAGAAAAAAAAGGAAAAAAAAAAAAAAAAAAAAAAAAAAAAAAAAAAAAACAACTAATTAATCTTACATGAAAAACAAAATAAATGTTTTTTCTTATTGATACACAGAATATANTCCTTAAGGAAAAACTGCAGAAGAGAAGAAATCAGAAATGAAAAACAAAAAAAATTACGTTACCGACAACTTTTTTGTCTAAAGTAAATCAAGTTATTATACCTTTTACTTGGTTTCAAGAGAGAATTCTCTCTTGGTGGTTGCAATTGTCTGTTTTTGGACAATATTTTTTTTATGGATGAAATAGAGCTATAGGCCACGCCTACTCCAGTCTTTGATTTAATTCCTCGGGGGAATCACTCAAATTTTCTGACAAGCATCTCTGGCGTCTTTCAATGGAGGCAGCACCCGCCTCCTTCTAACGAAAGCTATGCTTTATTCTGGCAGAATAATTTATAATCATTTATGGTATTTTTTTAAATTCTCATTTCAGAACTGAATTATGCTACTTTTACCAGGTCAAGATTACGTTGTTACTCATTTTGCAACATGCCATATCATGATATAAATTTGATTTTTTTACAGTTTACGCAAAGGTTGTTACACTGCCTCTATTAGAATGCTTAAAAAACACGCAAGAAATAGAGGACTTAAAGTAACCTGCAACGACGACCCAAAGTACGTGGTATCTCAGCTTGATATTAATCTCTAGTTCTCAAAGCTATCATCTCACCAGGAGCCTTTAAACCCAGAGCAAGCAACTTCCATATACTTGTGTTTTTTCTGCCTGGTTTATTTTTAGAACGGTTTTGGCGCGAACTTAGAACGTCCAATCCTCTATATTTTAAGTCGCACGAACCAGTCAGCACAAAATTGGAGCTTTTATTTATTATTATATCATGACTTAAGTTTTCCTTTTTCATTCGTCGTATGTGTTCATTCACGGAGTAGGGCTTCTATTTTCAGAAAAAGTACTCTACAAGGTATCTAAAAATATACCGGTTTGTTAAAATTCCGTGACATATACCTAGTATGGGATTTGCTCCCTCGGGGGGTTATGGGCTCCTGTCTCATAAGACCTGGGTCATAGTAGGAGCTCATAACCTATGGGCTCCTGGTCTGTATAGAGAATAAAAAAGGCGGTTGACGAAATGTCATATGAAGTCGAAAGTCATTAGAATCAATCAGCAAGCGAAGAAACCCGATTCCTGAGTACTGGAGAAAACAGCGACTTTTGCGGCAAAAGTGTCTAGTAGGCTTCGGGTGATCTCCTCTTATGAATTTAAGGCCATCAAAGCCAACTTGTATCTGTCACATTATTTGACCGTGGTTTTTTAGAATTGTAACCGTAATAAACCCTACTGAGTAAGAAAATTTCGGGGTACTTACCGTGCGCGAAACGATGATTCATCTCAATATTTACAAGGGGTCTACTCACCTTCGTCTCGCCATTGTAAATCAGTGCCCCCCGTACAGTTCTACCTCTCATACGTGTATTGTAGTATTTTATCTATCACCAAGAGCCATTGATGTCCCTTTATGGATCTTGCTATAGATCATAAAGCGCAAGCAGATATCAAGCTTTATATCAATATTTTACCTTTTTGTCTTGCCAGTGACGTGCGCCATATTTTGTGTACGGACGATCCTTTCTCTCGGAAATGCCTCTTTCTCCTCTTTAACTCTTGGAGACATTAAGAGGTAAGAATCATGATGACGCGGCTAAATTTCTGTGTCTGGATGGACTGTAACACTAGATGATAAAACGCTGGCATGAGTGAAATTAGTATGCGTGGCAGGCGCAAAAAGGGGAAGGTGGGGGGGGGAGAGAAAAGCGCGAAAGCGGGAAAAAGGGAAGGGAAGGTCCCTTTCCCTCTCTCCCCAATTCCCTTCCCTTTCTCTCTTTCTCCCTATCTCCTATCCCCTTTCGACGCCTGCTACGCAGGCTAGAGTGAATTATGCAGCTATCCTGGCTGGGCAAAGTAAAAAATTAAATAAATAGATCAATATACAGTGGATTCTTTTCCTTAAAACAAACTTCCTTTGCAGTCGAAATCTCACCTTTTGTGATTATGGTTTTATTAAGTCTAAAAACTTAGAAACTAAACAATGCAATTTTTAAACACTCAGTGCTGGTTGTAAGCACACACACACTCAGACAAAAAAAAAAGTACACTGCAAGTCAGTACACCAAAAGAGGTTGCATGGCTTTAAAGAAAATTCTGTAAAACCTAAGAAGCTAAAGTTTATAGCACGAGGAGCTTTTTTAAAAACTTTTAAATTTAGTTAGGGTAACCTCGTACCCAGACCTCTTCAGCTTCTGGGTGGATTCATTTACAGCAAAAATTGGTTATGAGCAGGACAACAGCTCTGCAGGTGCATCACGCTTTTTAGTACATTTCTTTGAAGTCCACTGCACGAATAAGAAGTTTTGTGTCGTTCATGGAGGACGTAGACATACAATGACAAATTTTCCTTTCTCTTTTTGAACATGGATAAAGTCCTTAAGAATTCAACTCCGGGAAAAGTCACTTACATTTGATAAATAGCAGGTCCAAATAGACGCGATAAAGTTCATTTGAAAGGAGGCAAACTAGATCTTTTTAGCGACGTTTTCCCTGCCCTCGTCGTCTTCGTCTCTTTAGCTCCCTTTGTTTGGCGAGAACGGGCAAATGCTAACTAACTTTTGGATTCGTTTCCAACATTCGCGTATAGATGTCGCATTTGCCTGCTGGAATTTTTTATTTTTTTTAAGCCTAAAAACAATAAAACATTTCAGTGGGCAAATGCGACAGATACGCGTATGTTGCAGATGAATCAACTCTAAATTACTCTCTCGACTAAATGAAATTCTTTTTAAACTTTCAGGTGGCTTCCGTTCTCTCAGTAACGTTTGCAAGCAGAACGATAAATAGTCCTTTAAATTAAGTTAAAATTGGATGGGTAACGTAGTAGTAACATAACCTTGGAAATAAACTTAACCCGTTCCTTAAAGACCTCACTGTTTTCTTTTCTTAAACATAAACGTAAACGATGAGACAGCTCATTACGGCGAGTAATAAAAACAACAACGCTCTAACAGCGGTGTTCCGTTTCGCTTGCTTGGAGATTATATCGAGAAATGAGGAGGCGATTAATTCTACACGAAACGGGATTTACTCGCTAAAGGTTTTCTACTTCTTACTTTATCGTTGTCGAAAGTTTTTATTTGTTTCTGAATTGATTTAGGACATGTTTACATGGAGACGAGGGACCCTAGGTAGGTGAGGTAACCCGCCTGTCCATATAATCTCTCATTTTAATTTGATCACGTTTACATAATAGGTGGGGTGATCTGCCAAGGCGGATTACCCGGGCTTCCCAGACCGGGTAACCCTCTCAGCCGGGGTCAAATTTTGCCATGTAAACGTTTCAAGGTGGGGTAACCCGCCTACCCGGGGTCGGATTCGTGATACATTAAATTCGCGCGAAATTCACCTTGGCGGTGGCTTTGCATCATTATTGAAGGTGACAATAGAAAGCCATAGCACTGAAGGTTGCAGCAAAAGCAGCACGTGAGTGTAGAAGAGCATTAATCGCCAAAACACGTGGTTTGCCAGCATATTTCTTGTTTACGTGCTAAGCGACCATTCAATAATCTTGAGAAAGTGCACCCCGGGATGGTGGAGTTGTAAGATTGCATGTGAAGGAGGGTTATTTTTTTACCCCATCTAAGCGGGTTACCTCACCTACCTGAGGACCCTCACCAACCTCAGTGTAAACAAACCCTTATATTAGTACGCGTGTTAGCGACGACCGGAAATACGTCTGCGGTATGCGCGTGTATAAATACACGAAAATTCAAGGGCCTCGATTCCAGAGAATTACATCATTGCCAGAGATCAAAGAAGTGATTTACATGGCACGTTATTTTAATCATCGCCGGAAATAAACGGCATGCTCATCACAAGACTCATTTGCATACAATGACCTTCGCAGTTTTGCTAATTAAGATTCTTATTTTGTTTCTCAGTAGTGTTCACTTGTTCCAAAGTAATCAACGCTTTGAATAAGTGATAGAATTCGTGGACCGTCACTTTTCGGAAAAGCTCGAAATTTAATCTTTCCTAAGCTCTCTTCGCAAAATATGCGTGGCTTCGATCACCCATCGATTCTTATTCCCAGTTTCCACGGTCAGTCTGCTAGGAACGCCTGGCACAACGACCCCCCTTGTGTGTCCTAAATACGAAGAAAAACGCGTTGCAGATTATGAGTCTCGCTGCGTACGCAAGCGAGACTAAATAGGGGAGAGGTGTAACTGGACTAGACTGGACTGCGGGGTGAACCGCGGGGTGAGTGATTGTAAGGGTTGGTTTTCTGGAGCAGCATTTTTATTTTATTTTAAGTAAAGTAAACTAACTAAACAAGCCGTAAAGTGACAAGTATCACGTAAACACCTCATGGGCCCGTATTTTGGCATTAACCTCGGTGGGGATGGGGAGAGGGGGTACTCCCTTATATAAGCCATACAGTTATGTGCCGTCCCAAAGGGTATATATATATTTTTTTTCTTGCGCCGTTTTGGTCTGAAAACGGGCATAGACTTTTCCCACTTTTGGTCTGGAATTGGATATGATTTTCCAGGGAACTACGGGAGTGTATGAACGTATTTATCGAAATTATTCGCCCAGCTCCCCCAAGCTCAACTTCGAGTCATTTGTTTTGTTCCGGACAGAACGTGAAAAAAGCTTTGTCGAGTCGTTGGTTTTAGCCGGTGCTTTCTATACCTTTGATTACTTTGACTATCCACTGACTATCGACGAATCAAGACAATGATGAAAGGTGCCTAGCACCATTTTGTACATACGTCGCATTAAAACGGATGTTTTCTACGCCATTAGCGAGTACTTCAGGTTAATAAGAGGGAGGAACAATGAAGCGTTACCCGGCGGCTTTGACCAAGATCGATTGAAATTTCAATGAGCTAAGCCTTTCAGTACCAGCACGGGTTCCCTCTGTTTCATCTTAACCTAAATTTAAACGTTTATTCTCCAGACAGCCGTAACTTCTAGAAGGTTGTTCCATAGTTAATTAAAGTTGAGTTGGTTAAGAAATCCTTTGTTATATGTTTTTGTTATCTTTTTTGGACCTGACCGTGCACGACGTTCAATAGCATTCCTATAATTTTAAACTTACCGACCAACAGAAACATTGCATTAGTTTATTCAGTCACGATTTATGAACAAAAAACAAAGGATTGTGCACGGTTAGGGAGCTTCCAACGTAAACTACATCACCATTGTTTTCAATTTTGATGTTTTCCGGTTTCCAAACCAGCCTCCGGCTACTAACTATGGTTGTTCTTATTCCAAGCTCAATGTCTCAATTCCAGCAATATGGTGCAAAATAGCCGCATCAGGCAGTAATAAAGTCACGAAACACGACAAAATGATGTATATACTAGATGGACCTATCATTTTCAGCTATGGACCTTATTCATTTTGCACGTCGCTCGCGGGGAGAGCTTTACTACTGCGCGCACGTCTAGGCGGAAAACATCTAATCTCGTTTTAGCTTAACTATTTGAACAGCAGCCCAACCAAGCCAAAAGATACACCATTCTTTGAAATTGCCATTGATAAGATCTTTGATAAGACAAAAGCGATAAAAAAGAAGTTTAGCTGGCGCCGAGCTGCCCGATCAAATGTTATTGTATTATGGCCCTCAGGAAGAGTCTAAAGTGAAAGCACTTGAAGTAGCCCACAGCCAATGAGAGTTGCCGAGGATAAAAACTATATATTCTTGAAGCAATGTTAAAGTGCAGAAGAATTAAAGTGGATTCGTTTGCTTTTCTACGCGTATAGCCTTCTCATTATACATACTCCTTGCCATGGGATATTTTATTGTTTTTCATAAAAAAAAAAACAACAACAACAACAACAATGCAAAATTCCAACAGGCAAATGTTGCAAAGCAGTGAATCCACCCTTAAACAACGCCCTTCAATCACCTCTTGAAATAACTAACGCCATTGGCCGGGCTATGTCCAAATGAACCCCTAAAATACAAAAAAATTGAAAATGCAAATTCCTATACAATGGATAGTTTAATAAGTAGCTCCTAAGAAACAAATTTCACATTCGTTCCTTTGCTAC